CGCGTGGTTGTCGACATCTGACATCGTAGAGGATACAATGTTGATAGAGAATATCATTATACTGAGAGTTTTGAATCGATAATTGAAAAAGAAAGTTCTCCATGCAAACTTGCACCCTTTCTTAAGGGTAGTTTTCAAAAATTAGTAACAACGGTTTTTAGACAGTATTTACTGTAAGTTTGAGCTGTGTCCCAGCCCTCCTCACCGGATCACACCTACGTCGCCTAAGGAACATTTGTGCTAAATTTCATGCTTCTAGGCCCAGCGCTTTCATCTGTGCGTTGATCGACCAGAGTTTTTTATAGATATTGATTTATTGATATAATATTAAAAAATCATTTTTTTCAATTATACATATATTTGGATTTTTGTTTTAATGAGTGTGATGAGATAATGCATTTCATTACCTTACAAGTGATTACTATTTTGAATAACGAAAAGCAGAGTTTGTTGTTAATTAAAATAGCTGTTAGTATATAATATACTAAGTATATAACTGCAGCAAGTGTACTTTTGTAAACATATTATTTTATTGAATTCATTGGTCATGAGGTTACGTTAGATAAGCTGTTAGAAATACATAATTTTCCTGTTACTGTAACTATTATTCGGTATCTTGTTTACTCATTACGTTCAGTGAGGACAATTTAAATGAATTGAAGTGTACTTACATTATAGCCTTCGTACTTACATACTTAGAGGTTTTCATGTGAATTCATTGTAAAAATAAGACTCTTGACATTTCTATAGGCTTTATTATATTTGTGTTCAAAGGCCTCCCAACATCTGTTGCTCCATATATCATCAAAACATTTGATGCCAACATTTCTTATAATTTCATAACTCTTCGATGTTCGATAACCTGGCCGACGAAGTACGAAAAGGTATTATTTCCTTAGAATTTATATTATGTCTTGATAAAAATGTAATGAAAACGAAGGTTTATCTGGTAAACACACACACACAACACACACGCCAGTCAATTCTCTTAATACAAATTCATTCAAAATTCAGTTCCGATCTACTCTCGGTGATCTCAAAAATTGTCATAAAAGGTATTCTCGTAGTAAAGTATTAAACATCCAACGTTGACTGTAATGTCATTATATATTTATGATATCTACAGTAGACCGGAAGTTAATATTAGATTTTTTATTGCAAGAATTGACGTTCAGATCCTAAACTAGACAGAGCCAGACTTCTGATAAACATACTCATAAATTTCTAAACACATGTTATAGAAAATTTACACCCAGATACAGAAATAATAATCGTTGCTCATCACACAATTATCTGTTCTGGGTGGGAATCGAACCTATGACCTCCGGCTTAGCAGTCAGGGTCACTAATCAATAGACCTACAGTCAAAAGTCAAACGACACGCAATTCAATATTGCTGTAGTTGTTTTTCTATTGAGGGTAATAGAAAATGTAATAATATAATGTGTCCTTCTTATTTTGATTGCGTGATAAAAACAAATCTGTTTTTGTAAAATATGTAGCATGTGCAGTGTGCACCCACGCATGTTGTGGTTGCATGAAAAGTAAAAAAAAAACTACTAGTATAACAGTGTATTGCGTTAGTTTAACAACTTGGTGCCGTGTACGTTCACAATTTTACATTCAGGCTAGGTCAAGTGAGTGAATATTGGTTTGCTCAATCATTACGTGTTAATCATTTATAAAAGGATAATCTAAAACGAGTTCTCAATTAATTCAATTGTTTCAAATGTTAAAATCAGTATAAAGCTTAGGCCCGGCGTCCACTATCGGAAGCCTTCGGCAGCGTAAGGCATGCCTAAGGACGCCTCAGTATATTCGGCAGACTTCGGCAGCGTAAGGCATACCTAAGGACGCCTCGGTATATTTGTCAGACTTCGTCAGCGTAAGACTTACCTAAGGACGCCAAAGCAACCCTCGGCTAGTTGTGGCAGTCTTCGGAACACCAAGTCAAAACTAGGAATTGTCCGCACCCCGCCCTGCGCGCAACCATTTGCTTGCAGACAACGTCTGCTGCCCACGTAAATTAAATTTAGTTAGGTCATACCTATGATTTTTACATAAACGTAATACGTGTCACACGCAGATCATTGTGGAATTGTAAATGTTGACCTGGCTAGAAGTGGTCAATTTCTAATGTATGGGTCACTATTTATTAAAGCGACATTTCATTTCATACTCGTCGTTTGCATAAACACTATCTTTAGTAAGGCTTTTCGATTCATTCTTAAAATCTATTTTGATCCAAAAAGTTAATGTTCTGGAGAATGAGAAGTACAAGTAACAGTCGGGTTTAAAGGTTTATTGACAGTAGAAGCTTGTGAGGTTAGGGATAGAATTTGCGGCGGGCTTGTCTCTGCCTGCTATTTAAATTTATGTATTTTTGTATAAATCTTGAATGGATACGACAGAAACTTAGATATCAGCTTAGAATATAGTATAATATAGTTTCGGGGTCACTTAGAGGGTAAGGTCAAATTCGCCTCGAAGAAGCTCGGTGTGCTGAACAAATCGAGGCAGTATTTCACTCCGGGCCACCGCCTTCAGCTCTATAAGGCGCAAGTCCGGCCGCATATGGAATACTGTTCTCATCTCTATGCAGGGGCACCTCAGTACCAGCTTCTCCCTCTGGACTGCATCCAACGAAGAGCGACCCAAATCGTCGATAGTCGATAGCAAACATCTCCGATCGGCTCGATCCCTTGGCGTTACGTAGAGATGTGGCGTCACTGTGCATTCTCTATCGCATATATCATGGAGAGTGCTCCGAGGAATTGTTCGGACTAATACCAGCCGCAAATTGCCGCCATCGTTCCACACGGCAAAATTTTCATCCTCATTACCTGGATAGTTGGCGCTTCACTACTGTGTGCTTTTCGAGACACTTTTTGCCCCACACAACCAATCTGTAGAACGGGTTATCGTCTGCGGTATTTCCGGACCGATACGACCTTCAAGAAAAGAGCGTACTCCTTCCTAAAAGGCCGGCAACGCGTTTGTGACTCTTGAGTTGCAGACGTTCATGGGCGGAGATGGTCACTTTCCATCAGGTGACCCGTCTGCTGGTCTGCCCCCTCTATCATAAAAAAACACAAGTCATATTAGAAGAGTAGAAAAAACAGTGTAAACATACTGTTTTCTTGTTACTGTATATTTATCTCTGACACTTTTATCCTCGTACTATATTGCGTTCATCGTTTATTGTTTTTGTACTTGTACTTAATTAAGGTTGGGGACTTGTACTAGATGCGTCACTAACATTCATTGAGTGAAGCGTACTCGTATTAAGTCGATAATTTTTCATACACGTCTTCTTCTCAACGGGTAATGAACACCGAATTTAGTGACAGAAACTCAATTTGGAATTTATATGACTGTCTTAAGTGTTGTTAAGTTCGCAGTCAAATATTTGACTATGATCGTTTTGTGGCTAGCGAAACTAATTTTACAGACAGACAATAATAACTTAATCTTATTAAGATGAATAGACTTATATGAACATAATATGTACATATAAACACTATCGCCTTGTATCTCCGAAGGAGAAGGCAGAAGCATATTACTTAGCCCAATTTTATTATTGACACTTGGTCGACCTGAAGACGGAAAAATTGCAAGTATAATTTATATCCTTGTACACTAGCATATAGGTTTTCGACTTAAAACCTATAGGGTACTTCCGGTTGACCTAAAATTTTGGTATTAAGGGAAATTTGACCATATCTTTTTATTGTGTTGACTCAGGACCTTGATTTTTATACACCTAATAGGGACCATAGACCTCAGAATCTTGTATAAATTTCAACTTGCTAGGTCTACCCGTTCCTGAGAAAATCGGTGGGTGATCTTATAAGGATTCCTTTTTTACTCTGAGGTACGGAACCCTAAAAAAGAACAAAGATTACGAATAGATACATCTTATGGCTGGTTCTATAATTCTATTTTATAAACAAATTGAACACCTATAAAGTATCGACATACAGAGACTGAATATGATTAAGCAAAACCTCACATGCTAAAAATTACCATCGTCATCTGCATTGGTACGTTCGACCTGAGTGTAATTGTTACATAAGTTAGCTCATATTACGAACAGGAGCACAGTCACGACACTCATGTCCGTCACAGCCGAAGGCGCGCCATCGTGCGTTTGTTCCACATCATTGACAGAGGACGAGAGTGAATCAGCACAACCGTGCCCAGCCCACGCCTTTGAATTCTGCAATTGTCTCTCAATTGTTTAACTATCCTTTATCTTCTAGTAAGGCTCTACGTTTATATATAAATTATACAGTAAAGTGTCTTATTAAGGGGATTTGTAAGAACTACGACCCTTTTTGAAAGCACCACCAAAGTACATGAAAATTAAGTAGTAAAATTAGTTTTTATGTTAACAGCTCTTGCTAGCCTGATCAGTTTCCATTAGAGAAGTCTTTGTTTTATATTTGTTATCACAAATATGTGTACTATGCACTTAAAAAAAACACATTTAGCTGATTAAATCCTAATCATTTTGAATAAATCAAATATGAGGAGGTTCGTGTGTTTATTACGCTCAGGCCGTAACTCCTCCGATCATCATAAGGATTGTGCTAGATACGCGGTTTTGCAACTTGTTCTTACGCGCCGCTTAACTTGCGTAAGTCCCAAAATCATAACAATTTATTCATTTTTGAACTGATTGACTCGAGTTTTGTATTGTTGACCACATATTTTATTATATCACTGATTTGTACCTGTGTGGTATAACGAGGTGAACTATGTAGGTGGACCACGGGTAAGCACCGGTTCAAGGATGTTATTATAGATAAATGTAGAATACACGCACCACTTATTGGCTTGGTATCTGTATCCGAAAGAGATCTTGGCATTTGACACAGAACTAAAACTCGCTACTAGCGCTAAAAATATAATATGTAGTAATACTAGTACTAAATTGTATTTATTTTGCTTGCCAACAGATGATGAGGGGTAAGCTGTCCTGGTAGGAGCTGCACGACATGAATTCTGACGTGCACCGTCACCAGGCGCACCCGCCATTGGCACAGGTACCTATCCATTTTGTACTTTCAAAAATAGCCGCTTAAAAATTCAATTCAAATTTTCAATATGTACATTGATTGTCTTTGTTCACTTTTTTGTTATGCCTGATGAACTCCTAAAGAAAATATTTATTCGAATACCTAAATACTGAACAAAGGCAATGCAACTTTAGAGCAACAAACGAGTACTCTTAATACTGTTACGGGACTATTGACTATTGAATGACATTTTAACAGTATTGTACTTTTTTTACCGACTTCGAAAAGGAAGAGGTTCTGTGTTCTTTAACAGTGCAGTGCCGTAGGAGAGCCATGCAAATAGATCGGAACGACCGGCCGGATAACACGACCTCACAGAAAACCGGTTTGCAGCAATGCTTTCGTTACTTTTCACCGACTGAGTGAGGTTACCAGAGCCCAAACACCGTCGGCCCTGAGTTCAACATTGAACTCAGAGGAAGCCACTTGAGACTTTTCATTTGATGGTTGGGTATGCGCCGTGGCAGTCACTTACCAATAGTTGACTCGTTTGGACTCCTATACCATCAGCGCTATTGTTGGTAACTTCCGTTCATTTTTTGTGCATATTAATCGAATCGTAATCGCATTATTAGATACGGCCTAACGCAAGACCCTGTTCTATGTAAATCATTAAGGTAGTTCATAGTGAGCTACCTTTTACGTTGTCTCCTTAAATTCATAGATCGGCTTGATAGGGTATTTGTTGAACATATGGATTATATCTAATTATTTGAAATTAGTACTCTTACCATACTGCATTGTATTCTTAAACTTAATTTGAATTTACTACAGTTTGTTCAGCCCTAGTAAGTATGTTGTCCGACAAGCTAACTAACCCATGACCACTTATACGTCTGAAACAAATTTATGTTAATGCAGAATTAATTCTTCTAAGGTAGATAAATGTTATTTTTCGAATGAGATAGTAAATTAATTAATTTGAATAATATTCAATTTTTCAATCATTATAAAGTATTTAGAATAAGGCTATTTATGATCATAAAGATATCAATCAGCCCATAAGAATACATGTGTTCTGTCAGCGCAGCTTTAATATTATAGCTCACAGTAAAACTACCGTTTGTAGAAGTTATTGCAATGAATTTCTCCAAATGAAATATGAAATATTACAATAAAACATTCGAAATTGTGAAATTTTCATGGAACTGACGTAAGTGTGTTATTTTCTAAATTTTTTACCGATGCACGCTTTAACGACCACTTAGTACGCAATACCTGTCTATGATCCATGCACGGTTACGAGCATTGCTTTGCCCGAATTTCTTTACCACATTTAGTATTGAATACCGTATAAGAAAGAAATATCCAATTAAAGTGCTATAAAGACAATTTTACAATCTAGATATTTGGTGTCTTGTGCCGGTAACTTTTTATTCTGTAAAATGTTGCGATACTTGATAAAATAATATCCGCAATTAAAAAGTAGAACAAGAATGAAAATCTGATAAAAAAATTGTACACAATATAGCGTACCCGTATCAACGATTTTGGCACATAGCCAAGGTTGTGTGTTTCAATGGATCGTTATAAGAATTTAACGTTTATCTAAGTGTCTGCCATTCGTTATACACGTAAAACAATTACGATTGTATTACGAAACAAGAATGTAGCTGGGTATGTATGTGTAGCTGTTAGTTTATGGTCCATAATATCAATGAGCACGGGCGCCTGGTCCGCGTCCTCAATGTTATATAGAGTGTGATACTTTTTAACATTCAACAGTCGTCTTCATCAAAGATCCGTTTGTAGTTAATTTTGTTTACTACCCCAAATTAGTATAAATCGTTTTTATATTTGCCTACGGTTTAAAACATCTGTTTTATGCAGTAGCCAAATATAATATCTGCAAATGATGGTTTATATAAACTGTGTTGGCTGCAGTTTCTAAGAAATAATGTTGACTTCATTATTAGACAAACAGAAAGATATTACTGCCTAGATTGCCTCGGTGGTGCAGTGGTGGCGTATGCGACTGATGTGCTGAGGTCTCGGGTTCGATGCCCGGGTCGGACCAAATGTTTGTATGATCTGCAGATATTTGTTTCGGAGTTTGGGTGTTTTCTATGTATAATAAGTACCTATCTATTTACAAAAAATATATTTTAGTATTCTATCAGTCAATCCAGCTTTCATAGTACTAACTGATAATAAAACTATTTTTCTTTCTTGTTGACTTCATACGATTTATATTATTTAAGATGATAATTGTCTATGAAATTATTTCGAGCTATTGTCTAAGTTGTCATAAGTATGTCTCTTGTTTTTCAACATGTTAGTACATTACTATAATTGACACAAGGCTAAAGAAACTTAGTAGTAACTAAGTTGATCCATCCGGTAATTAAGGTTCTTCCAGTAGGAGAGGAGTGAAGGATTCATTATGAGGGTGGTAATTAAAAGTATTACTTTTAATTACATATTTTCAGGAGCTAATTACGATATAATAAAGTAAAATTTGTTTATTTCATGCAAATTCTGTATGCGGACATTTTCCAAGAAAAATGTGTAAAGACTTTTTTGGTCTCTTTCAGCACGGAGTGCACGGGGGCACGCAGGGCGTGGGCCCCTGTGGCTGGTACTCGGCATCAGCCGCTCCGGCGCCTACGGCACCAGCGCGCCTCAAACGGGCTCAACTTCCTCATCAACTGCCAGTAAGCAATAAGTTATTGTTATTCAAGTGGGCTACGACAGAGCATCATTAACTATTTCATGTCTGGCGAAACTTTTTGCAATAACACTCTTAATTCGCCTCTTATTGTCTGCACGCTTTATATTTCTCAACTATATTACAGTTAAGGATAACATTTTAATTAAGCAATTCTGTTATGATTGTTAAAAAGATAATGCTTTGATTTCATTATTCGTCACTAATTAAAATACACACATGCATACATACATTCATTTTTCACGCCTGTATTCCTAAAGGGGTAATCGGACGTGTAATTAACTCCCACATTTTGCCATAATTTGGTTCCACTCATATAATAGGGAACAAGCTTATTTTCTGTCCACCGAGCACTTACACACCGAGAAAATTAAAGATGTGCTAATGATCCCAATTTTTCCATCTTTAATTTTGATTGCGAAAGGTAGGTACGAATGATAGGCAATTAAAGGAAAAGGAAATTGCTTATACCGTTTTAGAAGTGAGAGCAATAGCTCACACTGGCATATCTATAACTCGATATAACTCGATATAATGGTTATTGACAGGAAGTCTAAGTTTCCTATTAGTTAAAATGCACGATCCATAGTTAGGTAGTTGTAGCATAGCAAGCAAATTTGCAAGTCTAACATACTACAATGAAGAACAGTATTTTGAAATGTGTCTAATAAGTCATATAAAGCTAATAGGCGAAGGCGAGACTTAATTTATACAACACAGCACATTAAGAGCGAGCAACATAGAGCCTTTGCTAATAACAATGATGACACTTAATTTATATCCCTTTGTTTGGGACCACATCTATTGATAACGCTTAGTCAATATTATAAAGTTGCGTTACAATTGTTGAGTTACAGTTATCCTTCTACAATATTGACCCACAGTACTTTTTAAAGATCGATTGTAGTTTGCATGTTATACACGCTTAACTAATTCCATTCTTTACGAGTAAAAAGTAGTGTTCATACTCATTGAAACCCTTTGTGATGAAATTTCTCACGGCCTCTTAGAAAGTAATATAGCGCACTAGATCGAACGCAAAATTTTTGTTCGAAGCAGATGTTGCAGAAATGTCGTCTTTATTTGTAACATGTGTTATGTATATAGATATTTTTAACATATATTTTAAACATTGTTCTAGTGTGGAATTAGTGTGAGCGGCAGTAATGGGCCACACGCGCCTCTCTCGCCCACCGCATTGCAGAATACCATTCCACATAATGTAAGTGCAAATACTTTACTGTAAATGCTCTTCGTGTTACGTATGCTAACAAAATGCAGCTACAAGAACTTTTTATGTGGTCCAATTGTTTTGAATGTTCAATTTTTCTTTTCTTTTTCTTCAACAATATTCTTTTATAAGGAAATGGAATCGTAACGGAGAACTAAAGTATTCATTCCACACTGCTCAAATGTTGTTGTTTAACTTACGTGTTAATTATATTATTTTTGAACTAGATAAATATGCATTGAGAATGTAGTTAATAACACGAATACATATTGGAGTAATTACTTTTAGCTTTCTCTTTTAATTTAAATTTGAAAGTCGTAAATTTCTATTCATTCTTCTGAAACTTATTAGGTTGTGGCGACCCACATATTCACAAAAACACTTTAAAATCTTCAAAGGCGAGCCTAACTACGCAGGAAATATCAAGAATATTTAAAAATTCTAATTAGCCAAGGACCGAATGATCACCTAGGATATTCTCTTTCTTCACCTAACACAACACCAGACACATAACAAGAGAAGGTAATGTGAAATCCCATTACCAAACTTACACAAACATTTCTAAAAGCCAAGTTGTCTTTAAAAATACGAATATCGGCTTATCATATATTGTACATATGTATATGGTTTGCCACGGGTCGTCGTCAGATATTGTAGACTCCACCACTTTGCAATAATTATTTTCAAATGCAGTCATTTTAAGTCTGGCAAAGATGAAATTAAAGTATAATTTGAACGTTACAAACTGGTTACAAATTTTTTTATTTTTTATTATGACCTAATTTCGAGAGAACTTCACCCAGTTTCAGTATGCATATTTGTCTAAGTATGATAATATCCGCATTCCACAAAGAACTGTCACTCTTTTTGGCATCTATTCACGTGTTTACAAGAGTCATTTGTCAACAGATTGTAATGTCGTCATCGGTAAGGACTCCTGCACCGACCGGACCTCCACCTTCCGCCATGCACACTTCGCAAACTACACCTGGTAATTGTTAATTACATAATAAAAATATGTTTGACATTTGAACTGTAAGGTCGCTTTTAATATTTTTGCCAGTCAAAATTATATAAAAAAGAAATTCTCAGGAAAGTTTTTGCATTCCTCACTAAAATAAGTACGAGTATAACAGCGATTCGAAGAAATAAAAAATTGTAAAAAAATTGGTAATTTATAAATTATTATTTTTGTCTCTGTTATTGTTTATTGGCCATATTATCAGAATAATTTGATGAGTTCTATATAGACATTCGCATATTAAATACATATTACATTATTCATAAAGACATTCATTACATTCAATTCAAGTTGTGTTATATGGTACGCCATATAATACAACTTGAATTATACATTAAATCTTTTCTTATTGTTGTTACTAACAGGGATAAAAGATTTAAAGATTAAACAAAGGTGAATATAGAGAATACGTAATCACCTCCGCCCATACTCCTTGTACTTATAACATACTTGTTATTTCTGAAGGCAATTACAACCTTGGATAATAAATGAGAACTTCCGACACTGAATGTCGGAATCACAAATTATTTTCGCTGCAGATACTTTTACAATGATGTTATTACATCTTGCATCAAACAAGTCTTTGTCGATGTCTGTAATACTGATTGTATTTCTTAAAGATTGCAAATCAGTTTTTTATCCTACGAAAGAGACTGCATTAGGTGTTCAGAACTGTTTTTAAATGGCGAACACCTGGACGATACAACATTGTTTCAGAATATTAAATTTACATGACCTCGTGTTGTTTACACTCTTGTTCATGAAATAAAGAAAATGACGTCAGAAACTACTTATCCGCCAGAAAGGCTTGTTTACCATTTCGCAATTAACAACTGCTAGTTATATTTAATTGTATCGATAACTGGTTAGTTATTATAATAAACTGTACTCACATACATGTTTATATGTTTACAATATTTAACCTTTAGGAATTTAGACAGACAGGCCATCGAGTCGCAAGTTAAGCTTAAAAAAATACAACAACGATATTATTAATAGTCACTCTTCCACCTCCACCCTCTTAAAGAAAGTGCAGTTTTTATTACTTAAAAGTAAATGAAGAAAAATATATATTTCAATACAATTAACCAACAACTCTCGTGACCCTGACAAACTTTTGTGCATGTTCCAACACGAAAATCAGTGAAATCTCGGAATATAATGAACCCTCCAAACTATGTTTTTACTTTCTTCTAATGTAATGAAACCCCTCGAACGAGAATCAAAATCACGTTGTACCAGTGCCTCTCAAAAAATTCTAACAATAACAACATCTACCCCAAGTAGCCTTTGAAAGTGAAATTAGGTTTCTTTTTGATGTTTCATTCATTTTACATGGTGCACGTAAACTAAAGTAGGAGGCGCCTTTATCGTCGGCTCTAGTTATTGGTCGCATTAATAGTCGTTTTTTGGACTGTTCCGGAGCAATATAGGCTTTGATGACTTTTTGTCTGGATGACGTTCTAGTTCTTGATCTTTGAGCTTAAGCTTCAGTTTTTACTCCTAACAAATAATTGCAATTACTTTTACAAGAAACTCTAAAGTACTACCGTAATGTACACGTATGAATAGTGGCAAAAAGATAACTGCTTTTAAGAGATAATATAAACAAAATATCAACTAAAACGAGATTTCGTTAATTGGTGACATTATTAAAATTACATAATATGTATTTGTTTGCATACAGCTGTGACGAAAGGTCCTAGCGATGTGCTGGTGAACTCATCAGCCGTCAACCCACCGCCTGCCGTCAACCGACTCGTAAACATGAATCAGTGGCCGTAAGTATATTATTGTTTAAATAATGCTTCTTATCAATTGATATTGTCTTGTATCTAAATTATGACACCTTCGCTTATCAGTAGTAAAATATTAACAAAGTATAAAATCATATGCACTGCAGATTTTGGCTGGAATGGGAGCCGCCCGACTAAGATAGTATGTGCACCATAGAAGACTATAACAAAACAATTCTAGTTGTTTAATGTGTTTCTGCTCGTAATGAGTGATCCTAAACCAGACCCAAAAATACCATCCAATGGATAAAAAACCGTTGTTCCTCCTTTACCTCTCTGTGTGTATTTTTAACAAAAGTAAAATGACAGAATACAAACTAGAAGTGGGAATATTCAGGTCTATGAAAGACGTACCTACTCCTCGCTCTTCCCTTCAACCTCGTTAAGTGTAAGGCAAATTGCCTTAAAATAGACACACAAACCATCTTCAATAAATGTTATTACGATCTTATAAGTAATATATAGTGTATATATAAATACTACAGTATATAAATAGCGACCTAGAAAGAAACGCGCTATATAGTTCTCATTTAAGTGCCTATACAGTCTGTACAATGAAGCTTCTATGTAAATGTTGTTCTGTGTCACAGCACTTTCCCACGATTACACTGGCGACCTTACGATGAAACTCACTACAGACAGCAAGTTTTTATGTTTCATATCTCTTTGCTCTACTAGCTGGTACCCCGCGGTGCTAAGCGCGGTTTATCATCCCACGATCATCCGACGGGAACACTACATTTTTCCGAGATAAAAAAGACCCTATGATGTTATTCCAGGGTGTCAGCTACCTCCATACCAAATTTTATCAAAATTGATCCAGCCGTTTGAGCGTGAAGAAGTAACAAAAATACAAACACACACACTCATAAACTTACGCCTTTAAGGCGTAAAAGTAAATAATAATAGTAGTAAAATAAGTAAAATTTAATAAATAGTATGATAGTGCTCAACTTCTGTAGTATTATTTGTATTACGACTCTATATTGATTTTCAGTAAAAACATTCATAGGCTCACACCAGGAAGTCAGTAAACTCTGTCAGACAATTCATAATTAAAATATGTAACTAATATAAATATAAAATAGCAATTCATTACAGTACTTACTTAGCAAACGTGTGATAACATCAATAGCCTTATCTTTCGGACGATAACAACAGTGATAAACTGATGGTGTTAGTCAGTTGGTCACAAACAGAAGAAGTATGAACTGTGTGTCCGATATAACTGAGTGCTTTCATAAACCACACAAAGTGTTTTTGTGTATACCCCCCGAGATCACCTTCGATATTGTTGAGTAAAGTATCTTATTGTTTTATCAATATATTTCGTTGTTACTTAGTCAAAAATTACGTAGTATTACTTAATGCTATTATTATATGGCATGTGCCATTATTGACCTATTAAATACTACACAAAAGTACTATGTTCTAGATGGTGTGTTAAAACTATGTTAACTATTTATTAGTAATAACGAATTCATTTTCTATGTACTTAGTCGATTGTCGAAAACTGTTATAGCTAGTTATCAAAAGTAGTGGTTTAGTAACTTGTTACATTACGAAAGAATTATATCCAATATGGAAAGGAACGTTTATTGAACTTATAGTTGTGTGTTATGTACTTGGAAACAATGCCTATAGTATAAATAGTTAAGATTTTTAATGTGAAACATCAAATGCCGTCAAACTGTCTGTCGTATATCGATATACTTCGCCGCGCTATGTGATAGTATAATGTTTTTTTTTTCCTTTTACACTCATTATTTCTACAAAAAATTTCAATGTTTTACATTACTCACAAACATTTCAATTTTTAAGGAAGAAAACACATACATCGTATCTATTTATTATTGAATTTTAGAGTCATAATTTAACACATTGTTTATAAAGTTAAACTTTCTGAACTTTTTCTATACACAAAAACCTAATTTCTTATATAAACTTGAGTATCTGTCCGTGTTGTGACGGATTAAGAATACAGTGTTCCCACCCCTATCCATCCCGTGGGTGTCGTAGAGCCTACTAAGGGACCAAACTACGCAGGACTTACAGCACTGCAAAAAGAAGATACCAACCCGTCTGGCCTGCGTGGCAAAGTAGGCCAAATTGCCCAACAGTGGACATTTCAAGGCTTTTGATGATTGAGTTTAGAAGGGAATTATACAAAATAAAGTCTGAGATACAATTCTCCCATGTGAATAACGAGTATTATTATTACACAATGAAGTGCAAAACTAGATTGAACTTAACAAAAAATAATTCTGATTTTCTGTTATGATTTAGAACATTATAAGTATTTCGATAAATAAATAGTAAAAAAATAATCCAAACCGTATACAGAAAACATTTGCCTATAGTTAGCGTCCGTCCGTCGTATAAGTCATGTTCATATTTTTTTTTAAAAGGCAGTTCTTGCCACCGGCATGTGTGTGATATATTAACTTACATCACTATGATGTTAGTTAATATATCTCACACTTGTCACACACAGCCGTCTGATCTCAAAATACGCAGAGCCTTTGCTATTGTAACCAGACTCCTGAAAAACATACTTATATATTTTTAAACACATACATTCTATATGTAAATTACACCCTGACACAGAACAAATGACCGTGCTCATCACACGATATTTGTCCTGGGTGGGAATCGAACACACGACCTCCAGCTTAGCTAGCAGGGTCACTAACCATTAGACGAACAGGCCCGTCAATCTATAGTGAATTGCATGATGATGCATAGAACAATTTGTACATGGATATAAATCTTATTGAACGCAAATAAGGGAAGGTATTTTGTTGGGTACAAATCACATTTTAACAATATGTTTGTATGCAGATGGCACCATGGCGCAATATCTCGCGACCGGGCCGAGGCGCTGCTGTCTGGTTCATCAGATGGCGTATTCCTCGTACGAGAAAGCACAAATTTCCCTGGAGACCACACGCTATGTGTCCGCTTCCGGGGACGAGTCGAACACTATCGGTGAGTTACACTTGCCATCTTGTGTGAACGATTATCTGTTAAGGTAACCGGGCTGCACCAACGTCATTATATTCATATGTAGCTAGTTGTCAAAGATATCAAAGATTTCAAACGTATTTCCCGAATTAAAAACGACATGAGGACAGTTTTTTAAATATTTTAGTTGACTCCCCTCTAAGTATATAATTCAGTATACATATAGTCGAGTAAATTTAGAAATTAATTATCAGAGGAAACCTTTATGTGTGTTGGTAAGGATAGAGTAAAAAATACGTTTTTTTTTCAGAGTGAAATGGGCAACAGCACCGGATAATCAAAATCAACGTCTCACCATTGACGATGAAGAGTTCTTTGACAATATGACTGATTTAATTCGTGTAAGTTATCTGTTATATAACCATAGGGTATACATATTCACGATTCAATCATATTCTATCATTACTTACTCAGCACGTGGTGTCTTCGAACCATTAATTACATCATAATGTTAAAGAAAAAGATGAGTCTTAAAAGTTTACGTCAATATTTGAAGACTGAAATTTTGAAGAACAGTTTAATTCAGCAATACAAAGAATGAAAAACAAAAAAAATACAACACAATACCATAAATTTTCAGCACTACCAACAAGACGCTGATGGCTTGTGTACCAAGTTAGTGCGGTGCTTGCCGAAAGCGTCTCCGAACGGTGCCAATAACAACGGCGTGTTGCAACCGCAGTACCCACCACACCCACAGGTAAAATTGCTTTTAATCCTAAATATCCTCTAACCTAACTAAATAAAACTAGACTCAATGGTTATATCCTGGTGTAAACTATAACTACTTCATACCGAAGTGTAGACGACAGTTTGGAGGTACTACTGTCTTTTTAACCATATCCTTCCGACAATCTGTTGCTTCTTAATTTTCATTAACTGGGCTACTAAAATAGCCTAATATATCCAGATTTCAAAGTAAAAATTGCTCTTGGTGTTAATTAATGCGTTTTGACTTAATGTTGAATAATGTTACAGCAACCACCGCCGTACCCCCCAACCCCGAGTGTATCAAGCGCTCTAAACTCAGGTCACTTCCAACACACGTACTCTTCGCAAATACCGTCCGCAGACCAAACCGATAGTGCGACGAATTTCGTTGACGCACGTAAGTTTAATCATAACTGATTATACCAACAGTATAAATAAAAAGATTTTCTACATACTCTTTACTCGGTAAATAACCAAAAAGAACTGGTGTCAGAAAAAAACCTTTGCAAAAGTAAAATAATCTTTAGCTAAATGTTGATATAAATAATGTTGATTTTATCTAAATAAAATCAAATGATTCTAATTAATATTCAGTGTACATACAACGGTTTAACAAAAAAGCGTTTGGTGCCTGTTGTCAATATTAAAAAGCAACCCACGCTTTTTTCAAATTTATTAAAATTTATTTTCTATTTTTTAGTTTGGTTTTCTATAAAAGCGTGTTTTTTAGTTTTTTTAAACTATTTTTTTTTAATTAGTGTACTGTCATCGGTCCTCGATATATCTACAAAGTTTGAACGAATTCTGACCGTTTAAAGTCAGTCAAAATCACGCCCAAAAGAGTCGGTTACAAACATACAAACAAACATACAAGTGAAGCTAATATAAAGCGTGTAATAAATAATTTTGCAGGTTGGAAAATAGATGAGCGTGATCTCGAAATACGCGAAAACATAGGCAAAGGCGAGTTTGGTGATGTCATGTTAGGTATTCTAAACGGCTCGCAAAAAGTAGCAGTCAAGATATTGAAGGATCGGGAGGCTGCCAGCAAATTCAGGGCCGAAGCAAGCGTTATGGCGTAAGTGGACATTTTATTCATAGTGTACCTACACCACAATATATGATCATCTGAGCCAGTGTGTCAAGTTGGCGTGGAAATGACCAACTTACAAAATACATATTCGTATTATAATATATATACATACCGAGGGAAAACAACTAGAACTTTATATGCTGAAAATATATTTTTCTTTAGAGTTTTCAATTATGTATGACGCTACGGTTAAGAAATAGATAATGGTAAATAAAAGACAATTAGTTAATAATAAAATTTGTGTGTTGAGATAGAGTGCTTTATATTTTTGCGTACTTTATCTGATGAAGTACTTTGCGTGTTAGTTGTTATTTATTATGAATTATTTATTAATGTATATTGATGTCAGGTCGTTGAAGCACGACAACTTGGTGCGGTTGTTGGGGCTGGTGTTCTCGTCGTCGGGCAACACGTGTATCGTAACCGAGCACTGCGCGCAGGGCTCACTGTTGGACTACCTGCGATCGCGGGGCAGGCATTATGTCACACAACTCAACCAGATCAACTTTGCATAGTAAGTATATTATGAACATCCTTTTAACAATAAATAACTCTATAGGACATAATTAGTTGACAGAGCTTGTATCCATAAAAAAAGTATATAAGTATTCTGTCCGAAATATTAATATTACGAGTATTATTAGGTGTACTTTTTCTTTCATACAAAATTGAAATATAAATATGGTTGCGTCCTGTGTATTAAAGCAATTATTTTTCTATGATGTAATTGCAACAAAAATATACAAGTTTATAAACTCAATTTGAAATCTTTTATCAATTCGGCGATGGGGGCCTGCGCTGCTGGAGTCGGTCATCAGATGTTACACATTTTATGTAACTTACAGAAAGTAGGTAAATAAAATAGTGTATTAGGTTTATAGAATATATAAGATCGATTCGTTGCAGCGACGCTTGCTGCGGCATGGAGTACCTGGAGCGCATGCGCGTGGTGCACCGCGACCTGGCGGCGCGCAACGTGCTGATCTCGGGCGAGGGCGTGGCCAAGGTGGCCGACTTCGGCCTGGCGCGCCACGACGCCTCGCTCGACGACCCCGCCGAGCTGTCGCGCCTGCAGGCCAAGCTGCCCATCAAGTGGACCGCGCCCGAGGCGCTCAAGTACAACGTGAGCGCTCGCACTCGTTCCTGCCTAGCGTTATAAATATATTGTGTCTGAACCTCATCAATAGACATGTGCACCCGACAAATGTATTTATTTATCGATTCGGTCGAGATTAATCACCAACGACATCTCGATGATGTATACAGGAAAAGGACGACTCTAATTGAGAATGCGGTCATTCGCTAAGTATCGTTGCTTACGAGTTTCACTTCACAGTGTTTTTTGTCGTGTTGTAGCGTGCCGCAATTCGCAGGCAGTGTTCAGCTTATCTCACAAAAATTTAGTCAAATATTGTGTCAATATATTTAAACAAAACTAGGTCATTGGCAAAAAACTCAAACTTGAGCTGAGGAAGAAACCTTTAGTAACCGAGAAAGCTTAACTAACTGGAAGAAAATATTGGGTTCGTCATTAGTCTTTCCATGACATAATATTAATAATGCCTTATTTTATCTTATGACATCATGTTCAATAGAACAAACGGTAACTACCACTCAAATTGTTTTAGATTTTAATTCTACTCGTTTGAAAGAAAACATTATACGAACGGCTCAATACGTACGTAATTGCTTCGATGATTCCTCGATGGAGTGGTGGAGGCAACTATATCTACGAGCATCCACATATATAGCACCACATATAGCATAACATAAGTGTAATAGACGTTTATCCCTCCATAACAGTTTATAACTTTACACTACTTTATTTTCGACAGAAATTCTCAAACAAGTCTGACATGTGGAGTTTTGGCATTCTTCTGTGGGAGATATACTCTTTCGGAAGAGTCCCCTATCCGAGAATCGTAAGTAAATTTCGTTATTTTTGTGTACCACGATCGCTGAACACATCTGTGAAAGCTAGAATACCAAAACCGTGTGACGTGCAGCCGCTGGCGGAGGTGGTGCGGCACGTGGAGCGCGGGTACCGCATGGAGGCGCCGGAGGGCTGCCCGGCCGGGCCCTACGAGGTCATGCGCGCGGCGTGGCACGCCGACCCCGCGCAGCGCCCCAGCTTCGCGCACACGCGCCTGCGCCTCGCCGCCATCCGCGACCTGGCGCACCACAACCCGCACCCCGCCCCACCGCACCAGGTGTGTATCTACATTTATCTACCCTATTTATTGAACCCTTTGCACGCCGTTGTCGCATATGAGTGGCAAACCGGTCGACTTATTTATTTTTCAAATTGTGGCGTATTCGATGAGCTTAAAAAGTCCGAGTGGGGTACGGCCACTCGATTAAACTGTTATCTGTCTGTTGCAGTGAGGCGCGTCAGACGGTATATCTCTGGACTACGTGACATAGTGTAAAATGTATGTACGACTGGGAATAGGCAAAGTGCTGTGAAGGTTGCGAGCTGTATTTTATACGTTAAGTAATACCCTATGTAAGTACTAAATTATTTTAATATGTTTGAAGACACTCCCTCGCTAAGAAATAAATGTAATGTAGATCTAGATAATATGTAATTTTGATGTGTTGTACAAGAATGTGTATCGCGTGTTAGATGTTTGAGAACTTTTAGTGGAATCGCTCACCATTGTGTCACACTACATAAAATACGATTTCTCTATACGGAACCGAAACTTTCTCTGTTATATAAATGAATATATTTTTTCACCTTCTGTTGTCGTGTCGTATTACCAAAGTCTATATTTAGCACAAATTTGTATAAAATAATTCCACTAAAAGACCTTTTTAATCATTTTTATTGGAGGCCTAAGCTTCAATCTATGGTAAAATGTTCTCGTAAAGATTCCACCCAATAGAGGTCATGAAGGTTATGTCGGTACTATGGTACTGTCTAGTCAAAGTATTGTTTGTAATATTGTTTGTATCATATTATAGTATTTGCACTTTAATTAATCAAAGGGGACTAACCTACAGAACAATTGAACTCAATGTACACTCGAGTTACGAAAGCTGGTACATACAAGTCGCTCAAATACAAAAGGAACCCTTATATAAAACGCCACAAGTATGTTGGATAATGTCATATAAATAAATAAACGCACTCAACACTGATCCTCATAAAGTATTATGTTTAAAATTGAGTGTTGTATCGAAGTAAACAAGTAACAAAAGCAGCTGTTAGAGTGAGTTAATAATTTTGTGCGACATTTACATCAAAGTCTGATAGTTTAATTAATATTTAACCATCAGTGTATTTTGCCATGTCGAAGTTCAATTTTGAAGTTATTGGTTTGTTCACCTCATGTAGACTAAGGTATGTTTAGCCATAGTAAGAAAAAGTTGTAAAATGAGACTTTCAGGTTGTGTGCTATCATAAAGTATTAATACTTATATTCAAGTTAAAATGTAACCTATTACAAAGAACACAAGTTCTCGCCCCTCGGTAACTTAGTCGGTCACTTGAACTAAAAATCCAAACCTAGTGCACCAGCATGTGTATAGTGTTTATTTACTATAGTTTTAAAATTGATGTCAAACATAACAAATAGTCTTATGTACTATGTACGCCATGAATCTCAAATAATGCAAATCGTCAAATAAATGTCGTAACTTTGAAATCTTGTGTAGAATTGCTAATACATATATGTGCATGTTTTAAAGTGTTCATTATTATCGTGGGTACTTCCATACGCAAAGAATAGCAACACATTATTTCTGTATTGCAACTATGTTAGGTAGTAAGATATACATTTTATAAAAATGAGACTAATTTCGACTACCGCAATTTATTTAGTCCTTTTGTTTAATCTTATGCAATACTAGGTTTAAGTGTTAAATTGTTTTTACCATATATTTATGATCTATCAGAAATTTTGTGAGAAATAAGTGATGAAGCGATCAGATGCGAGACATTTGATTTCTGCCAAAGCATAGGAACATGATTTTTTGGTGTTTCACTTAGTCTTCCTTTTACTTGAGACAAAAAATGTACAACTGTTTACTAGTCTTTGAAGAGTAGTAAGGACTGAATTGTTTGCAGTTGTATTTAATTTATATTTAAAAAAACTAAGGTATTGAAATCTCAATTGTTTTTGTTTATTACTTGTACTATTACTTTCAACATTGTAAATAGGTATTTGTAACTTTAAGAAATAAATTGTATTATAACAAAATATAAATTACCTAAATCAACTATTTCATTCACTTTTATCCATACAATATCTATATCAGTTACAACAGCCAGAACAACGACTAGATGCACCTCTACCACATTGAAATATTTTTTTTAGTGAATCTGTGATGGGACACCACACTTCTGGTTCTGGTTTCAAAAAGGCATCTCCTTTTATAACAGTTACCTTTTTCCCACAACAACGCAAAGATGGTGATCTCTTATTTAGATCACAACAACTCGCTTCACAAGCGTCTTGCGGAGCCTTTAATTTATCAGAAGACGGCGCCGAGTCGCATTGACAAATAACGTCCTTGGATTTACTTTTATTAACATTTTGTCTTTTTCCTTCGGAAGAATGCGTTGGGCTACACTGACAAAGTACGTCCTTTGAATTACTTAGAATTATGTTTTGTGTTACCCTTTCCGAAGACAGCGTAGAACTGCATTGACAAATTACCTCTTTTGATTTACTTTTTCTTACATTTTCATTTTCTTTTATCCTTTCCGAAGACTGCGTTGCGCTGCATGGACAAATCTCGTCCTTGGATTTACTTTTAATTACATTTTGTCCTATTTTTCCCGAAGATCGCGAAGGGCATTCGTATTTAAACGCACTTTTAACTGAATCTGTAGCGGGATGCCATATTTCTGCATCTTGTTTTGCATAGCTGTCTCTTTGGACTGGTGCGTCTTTACACCAACAGCGCGAAAATTGTACACCCTTATTAAGATTACCACCACTTGTTGTGAACGCTTTATGCACTGATTTGTCTACGGACATCGGCGGCCTGCATTCACAAATAACGTTCCTCGTTTTGATTTCATCAATCTTTTGTTTTTTCCTTTCAAGTTTAATACGTTTCTTTCTTGCATCGCTGGGTAGAAGTTGTAGCCGTTGTAATGATTTATTGGCAGAACCTCTTTGGAGTTGTAACGGGGAGATGCATCGACAAGTGACAACTTCCGTCGGTGCAGTGTTAGTATCCAGAGACATCGCGCTCACAGATGTATTCACTCGAGTTGTACCAGCGTTGCACGGCTTAGGGCAGACGACTTCATAATGACATGTTGTGTTGGTCGCTATCGGTGTGTCCACTTGAACGGCCGCACACCCTCTGGTCGGTATCGCCAGTGTGTAATCTATTTGCCGTAAGCAGGGGTAAAAGTAATGTATATCAGTAGTCGAGGTCCGCACATCGCTATGAAACTGAAATATTTGTTTTGTCGTAAGTTTTACAACGCGTGAATAATAAATATTGTAATTCTTTCAATTCAGGATAATCAATTGCTGAAACAGACTAACTGATATTATCTGATTGGTACGTTATGTAAAATTAAAATAAACAATACATAGGTTCTAACACAGTCCAAGGCTAACTTCTCATTAATGCTGTATATTTTTTTAATTATAATGCTAATTTACTACAACACAACAACCACTTTTGTGATTAGGAACACAGGATAAATCAGTCAAAACTATATAATATTTAAACGAAAATAGGGGTCAGTTTTGTGTGGTGGAAGTGGTTACACAATACCGATCAATCTTATAGATCATCAGTCCAGGCCTTTTTTATCAGCAGCTGATAATATGATTTGAAGGAATTGTATAATTTATACAGATGCAGTCAATTGCAATACCTACCTTTAATTGGTATCCGTTATCAATAGCATTTCTATTGCAGTCTGATGACTGCAAAGCTATCGGCGCTTCGTGGCGTTGATATAAAGGATTATTCCACACAGCTGGTACCCTGGAGGTAACATGTATCATTAAATATCATTGTCAGACTTGCTGACAGATTTGCTGTGGAAAACAGATTGTTTTAACATCACAGGGATTCAAATAGTGCTGAACGTTCTCCGTCCTCCATAAACGCAGGCCTAGGGGTGACAAGTAAGGCCATCAGTCAAGGAAGTGGACAACGTGGTCCTCACATACGAGAGGAGTCCATCTATAAGGCGTAGATGGCCCGGGGTACCAGGGATTTTATTTCTAGGTTACAGTTAGTCCCCCAGGTGTGCAACGCGAGACGGCGTGCGGTTTTTAGTCGGTTCGAGTCCGACATAACTATCCCACCAGTTGTCCGGTTATCTGAGGGTATTTCGCACGGAAAAAAGGGGGGTTCTAATAATTATCTACAGGTAACATAAATAAATTATATACATACGGGCTTGTTATACTTCTGACGAACCAAGTACCAGTATTTGGATTCGAACATGTATTCACATTATTTGAATTAATCATGTTATAATAGGCATTAGAACACCACCAATTAGCGGTTGGTGTGAAATAGAATTGACATGTCCCATCTGGAAGTGTAACACAATTGACGTCTCCTTCTCCTACTATTGAATATGGATAAAAACTGCTGTTTATTTGAGCTGGAATAATAAAATATTAATTTATCAAGTGGTATACTTGTTAACTTTCATATTACGACTATAACAGCCATCAAACCAATAACAGAATTGAAACTAAGGAGTCTTGCGACTTACATCGCGGCATTGAAGACATGAGGATTTTCAACTTGGCAAGTTCCATGTCTTATCACTACGGAAAACCACTGCCTAACGACGTCATAGCCCCCTTGTGCCCTATTATGATGGGAAAGATAATGATGTTGATACTTGTTATAGTTGATTCCAGTGCACAGGAGTCCCAGCAGAACGTATGACAGGGATTAATCCCATAAAAATAAGAAGGTATTTTGTTAGGGTGAACAAAACGTTCGTCTCGTTGTCCGTGTCACCACACGGAGAACGAGACGATTAAGAATACGGAGTGTCAGAGCCGACTAAAGTAGAGAAAACTACACAGGGCAACAGCACTGCAAAGGAAAACATACACAAACCCTTTTTTTTTTTTTTTAACGTGTGGAAATCCCCTCGGAGCGTCACCCCACCGGGGTTTGCGGCGGGGTGGTGTGTCGGATTCGGACGGACTCGGACCGACTAAAATCACACGGTGTGCCACTCTGCGCCTGTAATAGGAGGGATCCGGGAACAGCTGTTATTAAGACATCCGGACCCCTCCTAGCGCCAGCCCGCTCCTGGTGCGGGCTCCGTCTCAATGTTGTTCCTCTCTTTAGGCACACGCGGACGCCGCCCCCTCGCGGCTGGCCAAACTAATGCGGGTGGAGGGGAAACCCACCCCGTCCACCCGCGGCCACACTCAGGGCGGCATGAGGCGGTGATAGGCGCGCCTCCGCCGCCCGGTTCGCCGGCGGCGGATCGGGTCCGAGTGGAGGTCGTCCTCCCGGGCCTTCTCCGCCGCCTCCTTCTGCGAGATTACTTCCTCGCAGAAGGTTGCGACCGCGGTAAAACAACTGTCGCTACCGGCCATGGAGCGTACTACGGCCGGCAGCGAGAGATCCACTCCGATGACTGCAGTGAGGGCCCGGCGCTGCGTCGCCCATGCGGGGCAGACCGCCAGCGTGTCCAGCACACGCCAGCCGAGTCCTCACTGCAGTCGAAACATACACAAACCCTATACCAACCCTTCTGGCCAGCATGGTGTAGTAGGCCAAAACCTCCTTTGAAAGGAGAGGCCTAGGTCCAGCAGTAGGCTATTAATTATGAACAAAATGTAGCCAGTAATATATTGTTTTGTTGTATAGTAGAATACCTGACATAGGTAAGTCTCTGATTCATAGGTAAGTCAAAAATTCTTACTTGGATTGTAGGCGTTATAACCGTTCCCGTATCCATTATTTAAAGAGCTAGGAGTATTACAACAGTACGGTTGATTATAATGCATGGTTACTGTACAAACTTGCCCGGTTATGATTGCATTTCTTATTGATTCTGTTATGGTTTCATAGGATCTATGTTTTATTCATTTTTCAGAACTTTGTTTTCTCTTGTTGGAAAATATGACATTCTTTTCATAGACATTGACGTTAAACTGACAGATTATTATCAAGAAATAAATTGTATTTTAAGATCTGACCTCTAACTAAACAACAATTTATTCATAAATTAAGCATCTATGTTTAAAACTTAAAAAAAATGCATTTAAAATAAGAGTTACAAAGTCGACATTTTAATCAGATCTTTATAGCAGATACGTACAAGTATTTGAGGTCAGATTGATTACGTCATATTAAAATGGCTTTTTTATAGTACAGGGGATAAACAAGCAGACGGATCACCTAATTTTAAGTAACTACGGTCATGGACGCCTCCCACTGAGTCGCAGGTGCTTGAGTAAAGAATTCTGGATTCGTTGGGTCTGCGGTACCTCGCTCAATCGGTCAAAAGCATAGAAGCAGAAAGCATCTACTATGTTTTAGCTCTGCATCACCCTCTGGCTGACTGGGAGAAAATGCCTACGGCATTACGTCCGCTTGTGTCACATTTGTGCATAAAGGGTAAATAAATAAAAAATATATATACTTAAGGCCATACAAATATAAGGTATCACTCTGGTAGAGCCAAAATGTGCCGAAGCATATCTACGACTACCACCATAGTGATTGCATTTTCAATACACACTCCTCTGTGATAAGTGGTAGGTACTTAATTATGATACGTTTTTAAAGTGATTATATTTTAGGGTCATCTGGTTGTGTTATTGTTTTTTTTTATGACGTAGTGGAAAATCCCTTCGGATCTCTTGCTCCTCGGGGACTCAGGAGCCAGGAGTATTTTTTAAGACTAATCCCACCCACACGCCCACCACTGTAACTCCTGTACACACCAGGATCCACAGCAGTGACCCACGAATACACCGAGTAATGACACTCGGGGAAGTCAAAGGAAGAAATTAAACTGTCTTGGAACCTGTCTGACAACGAAATTAATCAGAAGAAAATTGGAAGAGTTTGAAATACCCCTCTGCTCGTTTACCCCCTTATACCATAAAAAACACAATAAATCCACTTCCCTCCTTAGCAAAGCGGGAGACAAAGTGAAGTAAACTAGGCGTACACTCTTTTAAACAGGGAAGCACCACGGCCACAAAATATTACGGGTCCTAGGTGAGCTATATTTGATTTCTATAATATGTATGGCAGAATCGCCTAATCGTCGATTTTTCTAACAGTTTGCGACGGACAGCGCCTACGGTTGCCCTATCGGCCCATACAGGTGCACCATAGCACATAGAACCTAAATGAGTAGCTCCGTATATGATCTTTAATGTATTAAATGATAGACCCCATGAGGCAGTTGATATATCCTTGTCAATGCACAGAAACTCTTTTTAGACTTCTCATTAACTATTTTAATATGTTCGATAAATGAAAAGTTGCTTTCTAAAGTGAAAAAGCTTTCTTTTTACAGTGACATTGTTAAATTTAATGCTCGGCGGTGATTTGAGGTTACCTTTTAAAAGTAGCTGGAAGGTTTTGTTGGGTGCAAAAGTTAAGCGATTACATTCACCCCATTGAGATATCCAGTTCAGACATCTATTGGCTAATCTCTCAAGCCCCGCCTTAGTATCAGATTCCACCAGTAATAAGCCGTCATCAGCATACACGTTCATAGTACATCCGGATGGTATTGGTATCGTAAGAAAACCGTCGAAGCCGATATTCCACAAGTATGGACCTAGCACTGATCCCGAGGACATACCATTGTAAGCGCCTTCGACACAGAATTATGACCAAGTCTTAGTTTAGTTGTACCTTGTGAAAAGTAGTAAGAGAGTACTTTTCACAAATATGGAAGGAGTATGTGGTGATTCTACTAAAAACTACCCCGACAGCCGGCCTCAGGTACCCTACTCTGGACCTGGAGGACCCGGACCATGTTATTTCAGGTCCTCCCGAATTGACACCATGGGTAATCAGGCCCTATCATTCCCCCCGTCAATCGCGACGTGATGGCCCAATTGCGTCTTAAGGCATTCAGGCCGCCATCCTATCCCCTACAGTCCTCAGATGGCAGTATTCAATCTGCCATCAGAGGACCCCACTCTCTGGCGGCCCTCGGCCCCGTCGGTGGCTGGTATCGTTGCTCACGTCCTCTACGCTCGGGATCTGCTCTCTCCCGATCCAGTTCAGCGGTCTCTTTCTTGAGCATTACAGCTTCACAGACCACTACTCCCTATCCCTCCTTACTCGCCAGCATGGCAGCAATGATTGCTGGCGGGGACAGGTCTCGTCCGATTTGGTCGACCAGGACTTCGCGTTCAGACGCCCACGCGGGCAGTCTTATAGCGTTTGCTGGGCGGAGTCCCAGTCGGGTGCGCAGTGCTGGCATTGTGCAGTTTCCTCGAGTCCGATAAGATTCAGGTACTCACCAAAGCAACCATGCCCTGTGAAAACCTGACCTCCTTCCCTACCTACCCAAGCTTCGAGGTTAGGTAGAACAGCACCGACAGGTTGGCGTGCATTCCGCGTCTGTCGGTGAGCTGTTCGAGCCGCCTACGACGAAATAGAACGGTATCCGCGTACGATCCGAATGGCTGCTACCCGCTGCGTTTGATTGAGCTTAGCTCGGCAGGGGGAGGAGGCCGATATGTGCTTGGCCCATATCGGCGCTCCAAAGAAGGCCATGGATCGTATAACCGCACATAAGAGGAGGCGAACTTCATCCCGCGGACCCTCTAGGTTAGGCAACAGCCTCTGTAGGGAGTCCGCCACCCCACGAACTCGGGGGATTATCCGCTCGAAATGCTCCTCGAAGCTGCAGCGGTTGTCCAGGGTGAGGCCAAAGTATTTCATGTATTGGCCAACCTCTACCTCTGTTCCCCCCCCTCTAAAAAAGAACGGGTGGGAACTGCACCTTTGCGTTTCCTGTGGAACCACAAGGCTTCCGTCTTATTAAGGCTGGTTTTCAAAACAGCATCAGAAGGGTTAATAAGACCGACCCTGGGGAACCCCGCATGTGAACCCCTCCCTTCGACATGACACGGGACTTCAAAATCCAATTTTTGTCAAAGGTTTAAACACTCGCGGAAATCCAAATGTTTTTATTAGTATTCAAATCTTTTATTTGCGTAAGTGATCATTATATTCGTTTAAAGCTATATTTGTACAAAATAGTAATAACCTCATAGGTCCATGTTTAAAAAGGAAGAAATAATTACAACTATTTTGTATAATTTTAGGAAATTACAAAAGTTCTTTCTTAGCTGCGAATATGTTACGTCAGAGGCAACCGTTTGCGCTATAGAAATTAAATCTTAATAGCTACATACTACATAGTAGTATCAGTCATAACTTTAAAAAAATATGCTTAAAAATAATATTTGATGGCCTTCATCAACTAAACACAGCATTTCTTATATGAAAATTCACAATGTATTCAGAGTTTGTCCGCTGCACACTTATTGCAAAAGGATCTGTCGGATGGAAGGTGAATGCGACTAATCTCCGTGCACTTGCAGGCACTGACTGACCCAAAACTCCGGCGTAGATTTTGAATTTCAGTAAACCAGAGTCGCGTGCATAGAATCTGAAACAAAATCGGAGTCTAAATACAGTGAACTCATTTTATATAACAATTTTTCAGGACCTTAAATGTCCTGTTAGTTGTAGTCAAAAATTATGTCCTTAAAATAACCCGTAGCTCTAGAATTTATTAAATAACGATTGACAGGTAAATATGGCAGTTGGTAAAGCAGGAGCCGTTTCAACCAATACTGTTAGTCTCCGCAATCACATTCGATTATCATTATTGCTCGTGGAAAAATGCTTATTATAACCTATTTGTTATACACTAATATTATAAAGAAGTTGGAATGCATCGACGAAAAATGTTTCAAAAACGGGGACAATTGATTCGTTTCTAACGCGGAGACGCAGACAAAGTTGCGCGGGTCAGCTAGTATATAATATAATTATGTACACTTACCTTATAGGGTATTCTCCATATGCTTTAGGTCTTTCCATAACTGAAACCCATTTGTCATCGTAACTAAAAAGACCTAAGTCTAAATACGGAGATCCACTGTAAGATTGTGCACTTATAGGTAGTTGCGCCAAAATCCTTTTTGTTGCTTCTGTTCGACCTCCGTATATGGCTCGAACGATAGTTTGCTTAAATCGTTGTTGTGTCAACCTGGCATACAAGTTATTCGAAGGGGAACAAGTAAATTGGGAATCGGCACAAAGTCTTGCATTTCTAAAACAGTCACAATAATTCTCGAATAGTTGCAAAAGGCCTTCCGATGTATTTTCATACACTTCCAATATTTTACTGTCACTTATATTATAGATCACAAAAAAAGATGACTGGCTGTTGGGTTCGGCCACTCGCAAAGTCACAACTTCTTCGCTTGCATATTTAATGAACAAATGATCTTCATCCAGTAATTGCATTTTCCACATTCTCAAACCTTGGAACATATCAAAATATTTATAAAATTTTCTCAATTCGAGAGGGTCTTTTGTTTCGTCACTTATCGATTTTGCTCTTTTGAATAGGAAGACAAGTAGTCTGTGCTTGAGACTGTTAATGGTTTCTTCGTGAAAAGGTCGTTCATTCATCAATGGGGCGAAAACAGAATTTACAATAAATGGGTCATCGTCATAACAGAACCTTCCAATTTTCCTTATTTCTATTAACATGCCTTCAACAATTTGGAACAAGTGTATAGTTTGATGTTGGACAGACAATACCGCCAACACCTCTTTGTATAAGTAAATACCCTGATTGTGTGATAGGTAGATTTTATCCACTCTGAAATGCTTTGTGTCGCACAATTTTCCCTTGTGCAAATCTACTAAATGTAGCGAGTAATCCTCTAATGCTGACCTGAAAATAAAAGATGTATCAATATTTATTTTGATACTATCTTCAAATGAAATACAAATTTATTTATTTATTTACTTATATATACTGAATTCATACAGATTACATTCATAATATCAGTAATATAACTGTCTGTCAGTTACGCTTGCACGAATTAACTGCTGAACCAATTTTAATTAAATTATTGGTATAGAGATACTTTGATTCTTGAGGAAGGACATAAGCTACTTTTCACCACGATAACCGAGATACACGAGGGCGTAGCCACGGACTAAAGCTGGTTTAGAATATAATCTATATTCACTTCATAAAAAGTTTGGAGAAATTATGCAAGTTTGGTAGTAAAGCAATGAGATAAGCATTCTCTGTTATAGTCATTTCCTTAGCTCGGATTTTTGCATGAGCTCAATATTGGGAAGTGTGCTTAACATGTGAACCTGATGGAGCACATAATTAATACCTTTTAACTAACGTTTATTGAAAAGTAAAATCTATAATTTATGATGTACCTAATAACAATCAATGTACCTTATGGTGGGTGTAACAGCTTCATTATTGCTATGTATATGATAAAAATGGGGTCTTAGATCATCAGGAATATGTGCTGCAGACCCGACTATGACGTATCGGCCATCTTCAGTGAATAGACTACATTCTCTATTCAACTGCTGTTCCATAAAAGGTAAATGTCCAGCATTATGGCGTTCAGACCTCAATGCTTCTCTTTGTTGACATACATTCACAGTAAATTTAGGCTGAAAATCAATTGCATTACATATTACATTAGAGGTATGGTTGGTAGGACATTGAAAATGTGGTTGCACAGTTTATTATACTAATAAGTAGGACAAAATACATTTCACTGCTGCTAAAGATGTCGGAATTCAAAACCTGAGATTGTGTATTTGTTATGCATCTATTCCATTTCTTTAATTACACTATATTGATGTTTAATTTTTTTTTACACTTATTAATTACACTATATTGTAGTTATACTATGTGTATTACTTAAGTCAGCAATTAGTAACACACTCAAGATTTTTTTTTTAATGTAGGTACAATATTACATAATTATATGTATGTAAATGAATCCTTATTTTACGGCACAGTCACGACATCCCGTGTGAATGGCTAGTTCGGATTGAAAAATTATTTTAGTGTTGGATAGCCCTTTTATCAGGGAAGGATATAGGCTACATAACATCATGCTACAACCAATAGCAGACGAGTATGAATGAAAAATGTTGCGAAAACTAACTTTTGAGAGGAAGAGTACCAAGTTGCGCGGGTCAGCTAGTCAATAATAATAAAAAAGTAAAAAAGTTTATAAATCATTTATCATTATCTAGCTCATTATCATAAATTATTTAAACACCTTGCAGCATGTACTTTACATTTCTTTTGCCATTCATGAAAAGCCCATTTGCTGATTATGATGCTGATACTCCAGAGATATAAGAATAGATTTATATTTAAAAGATTATAAGTTGGTTCCTATTTTACATTACATACCTTGAAAAAGCGATAAAATATATGGGTTCTTATCCTGTGGTGGGCATCAGCATCTGCATTTAATAAATCTGAGGGATATCCAGCTACCAGATCTCCTGCTGCTGCAGCACCTCTATACTCATAAATCTGTCAACAATTAAAAGTCAATAAATCAAATACATCAACATTAAAATCACACAAAACAAAGGATGAATGTTGAGCTGATTTTAATGTTGAAGAGAACCTACTATTTATAGAAGATAGTATTGAAACAACTTCCTAGCTGTTTGAATACTAGCTTCTATAAATCTTACTAACATTATAAAGGTGAAAGTTTAAATTGATGTTTGTTACTCTGTCCTGTCCATCACAGACACCAGCTCTTCACACAGCTTTTCACATGAAAACTAGTCTAGACTGTGTAAATGTAACTAGCTATAAGTATACCATTGTGAAGAGAAATAAAGTATTATTATTATTATATTATTACTCTTTTACTAGATTATAGACTGGAAGTGTACACAGGCTACTATTTATCTCGATAAAATGTGGGATAAGCTCGTGGGATAAGCAAGGTACAATGACAAGGGCAGGCAACACCGTGAGGCACAGCTAGTACATATGTATTGATTCAAACTACCATAGACATTTTCACTTAATAAGGTACCAGAAATGGGATATTTAGGATTTGTAGTAATTATTCCATTTGTAATAACTTTTCAAGATATATTTATAATCCAAAATTTTGTAATTTCATGCGCTGGAACAAGTTACATTTTTACTTATGGTGGTTTTGTACAGTAATTGTCTCTAAAATTTCTAGTAACCTATTTTGGTGTGCAAATTTTAGTATTTTAGTGTGTTCATTCCGCCTGTCTATTTCACCGGCTTCCAGTGTCAACTGTTGTTTTCAAATGCTTTTATGTTCAAGCAGCATTATGTATTGTGTTGCATGTTTTGTTCCAAGTATCAGCATTGAAAGTAATTCTACAAAGACAAGAGCCTCACAATGATCTAAAAGTTTGCAGCCTCGCAATTATCTCCCTGCTCAGAGCCTCACAGTGGTTAAGGACACCACTGTTTATACTTTATCTATATTAGTCATACACAAGTATGTACATCACCAGTCTGGTTACCATAAGACTGACTTGACTAGTTTAAGACCAGACAGTCTAAAGAGATATATGAAACTTTTTTTTTTTTTTTTTTTTCTTTTTTAAAAAAGACAACTCCCGCATTAGGAATAAATCCTGTGTCGCGGGGGACTTTACAAACATACATGAAACGGACACAAAGAACACCCAGACTCAGAACAACAATTTGTGGATCACACAGAGTGTCGTCCCATGTGGGGTTTGAACCCACAACACTCGGCGTAGTAGGAAGTGGCGTGGCGACCGCTTAAACCACTACGCCATCCGTGCAGTCAACTACTATAAATAATTTTGTGTTAATCTTGAAGTAAAATTTATAAGAATTGAAACCCACCTCCAAAGAAGTCTGATCTGCTGAAAATGCTATGAAATGTTTTCCGTCCGGGCTAAACTTCCTTAAAAAGCAAGGAGGTTTTTCGACATTCACAATAGTTAAATTCGGGAAAACATTTTGATAGTACTCTCGCACAACGTGAAAATGTGAGCCGGGTTTCCGTGACCCATAGATTTCTCTATCCATAAGTCTCATGACAATATTTTGTGGTTTGATTTTGCGGGGCACAATTCTCTCCGTACAAAAGAACTCATCTTCTTTCAGGGCACCGGGTGGTAAATCTTCATAATACACATTACTTGAAGTCGCATTATTTGAAGTCTGACTGGTTGACGCCATGGTTTAGACTATATTATTGTCATAAATTATCATTATATCTGTTCCATTAATACTTTAAATATCAAAAATTGCCTAACAACATGCTTTAGGACCGTAAAGATCTTCTATATGTTAATAAAACGGTAGAATAGAAACAGATTTATATTTAACCATGTCACAGCTGATATTGACATAATGTACATAAAAAATTTAAAAGTGGTGATGGACGTAGACTGACACATTAAAAAAAAAAGTTACGAATGACGGAGCGTTCAATCGTTTTGAAATTTAGTAATCAGAATGTTAGTTTTACTAAATATTTAAAGTTTACTCCTTAAGAAACGATTTTCTATAACGTGCCCTTTATGAAAAAAATATGACGAGTAAAATTTAGTGATCCAATGACCTCGTTACATTTCTTTAGTTCTAAATGTGATTTATAGATGGCGGTTCTACCCTTTACTTTTCATCATCATCATCATCAACAGCCTTTACTAGTCCACTGATGGACATAGGCCTCTCCTTAAAAGGAAGTAGTTTTTGGCATAGGGTTTGTTTCAAGTTTTTCTTCTCTTTGCAGTGTTGTTGTCCTGCGTAGTTTACTTCCTAAGTTGACTCTTACGACATCCAGGACTCTTACGACGAATAGGGGTGGTGACATCGTAAACAAACTTCAGAAAATCCTGTGCGGTCACTGGCTGTATGCGCACAACTCTTGGTCCAACTCCACTACCTGTTCATACAGCTAGAGGCAGCCATGACGACCATCAGACTCAGACATCTGAGTATGTGGCACAAATGCATGGGTTTGCACTCAAAATTATGGGATCAATAAGTGGAATACCAACATCTAATAGCAGCCCCATGCGATAGAATCTCAAAACACCATATTATAACAAAGGGATACACGGTTCAGATACATGAAAATGAGCGACATTAATCCGGAGCAATTACAGACATAAACGAAATTCGAATCTACACGGACGCGGACGGTACCAAGACTGGGTCAGGAGTTTTCTTACAGGACCCAAAAATAAATATATCATTAACGTGAGGGCAAGACAGTTATGAAACTGTGTTGACCTCATGTTAATATGAATTTTCAATAGGAATATCGTGGCAATAACTTACGCTGCCACAACAGTAATGTCAGATTGTTTTAAGGACTAAATCATTCGAATACTGTCAGACAGCCTGCCGTCCTAAGAGCACTGGAGGGCAATACAATAAACTCTGGTATTATTTTGGAATGACATCAAGCATTAGAGCACCTTGCCACAATGTCCATTCACGTCATTCTTCGCGTCACAGGAATGAGGTTGCAGATGAGCTGGCAAGCAGGGTCTTGGCAACTTTATCAGCCGGCCCAATCATTCTTCTGCAATTGCCTTTGACCAACTTCGCTCCAGGGCTACACAACGTACTTTTGAACCACACAACCGGAGGTAGAGAAACTGATCCAGTTGCAGATAGTCCAAACTGATGCTGACCAAAGTCTCACCACGGCTTACTTCCAGATTGATCGGTCTCAGCAGATTAGACACCCGTATAGTTGTACGAACTATAACGGGACACCTAGTCCTAAATCAACAATTATTTGGACGGACGGACAGTCAGACAGGATGTCTGAAAGCAGAAGAAACGGTAATCCACGTAATCCTGGAATGCGAGAGCGTGGCCACGCAACGGGCCATATTATACCTGATACAGAATCGCTCCTAGAAGCCCATAAATGCCCCAGGAGGCTTCTGGAGGAGCTTGGTTGGCTCGCCTAGCCAACTTTTACGTACCTTACCATTCTTGAGTTTAAATGCGGAAACTGGAGCCAAGAACCAATACCCTTAAGGCTGTTACCCCACCAGAATTTGCGATGGGGTGTGATAGCTGTGGGATGTGTCTGAATTGAACCAAATAAAACTACACAGTGTTCCACTCTGCGCCTGACATAGGAGGGATCCGGAAACAGCTGTTATTAAAATCTCAAGCAGTACTTACTGTCTAATTTAGCTTGTTTAGAAAACTCAACGAATGGAGGGGGGCAATCGAATGTTAACCTGGGCAATATTTGATGTCTCAATCAAAAATTGCCTTTGCTCAATTTTAGCTCTATCTTCTTCCATACAGAGCACCAAAATTATTGTGTCTTCATAATAATATTCTAACAAAACTAAATTTCTTCTGAAAATGTTTCAAATTAGTCGTCACGCAAAAAAACCGGTGTAAGTCAGGGTGGAATGGGGCAAACGACCACCTTGCCCCACTGTTGGTACGCCCATGCTTTTTATTAATATGGGGTACCAACCCACATCTATGACAGGTATTTATTTTGATTCCGCATAAACGATCCAACCTTCTTGAATCATTGTAGAGAAATTATAAGATATTCAAAATGGACAACAGTTTTTAACTTAAAAATAATCCAATCGACATGGATTGCTCTTAATGAATTACATTTTATATTGTTAAAGTGTGCATTGTAAAATCACTGAATATCATTTCTCCTTAATTGATTTTTGATATGATTGGTATCTAATAATTATAACAAAAACGATCCAAAATACGTGAATCTAATTATTAAATTTAATATATAATTATTAATAATTAATTAATATTAATAATTAAACAATAAAGTATACTTTATAATAATATTTTAATGGCTTTAAATTAACTAAAAAGCTTTCAAAATATTTTTATAAATGCAATAAGAACATAAACATTCATATAAAAAAATCCGATTTATATGAAAATATTTTTCTGCAATGAATTTTTGATTTCGCTAAGCAACACTATTAACTTGCAACACTGCGTCCATTCGATATTTATAAACCCATTAGTGATGCGCAAAATGTATCACTGAGCTGAAAAGATTGATACATATCATTTCGTTCCAAAGATATATATCACTCATCTAGCTCATTTAGCTCACTAACTCGTTTAGCTCACTAGCTCATTGATCCGATTCAATTGATTGGTCTCTCAATCAATTCATTTCTTCATCTATATCGTTTAGCTCAGTATACTCGTATATCACTCTCTTCAAGCCTCTCTCGCCATACAACCCTTTATTTATTTTCATATTAACCTAAATTCAGTTCTTGAAACTACACTTTTAACCTATTTTTTTAAATATAATTTTATTCATTTTAATAAAATTACATAATTATTAACACCCTTTTATATAATAATTTAAAAAATAAGAAATACGTGTAATAATTATTTCTTTTGTACTTTTTTTGGGTTGTATATTAGAAATCATACATAATTACATACATAAATTGATTTTCCTTGTACTTGGCAGGCTTAATTCTTAAGTAATATCAAACTTTGATCCTATAGAAATAATGTACATTTAGCATATTTTTTTATGAACTTGCGTGAACTTAACCATCATTATCATATATCACACTCATTTATCTTTAGTCTCACTCGCTCATGAAACAAAGATCGGCGTCGTTGAGCTAGTGATATAGTGATCTAGTGAGCTAGTACTGAGTTACTGATATATTCGGAGTGTGAGTGAGTGATACATTTTGTGGTCGTGAATTATATATATCTTTTATATCACTCACTCAGGAGCTACACAACTCTAAAACCCATCTATGTTTTCGACTGAAAGACTTGTATCTATGGTCATGAATAAAATTACCTTTAAAAAATCTATATCAAAACATACTACTCTAGCCAAAGTTAGGTTATGTTGATATTTTCAAAGAAATTGTTATAATGTTAGAAAATATTACAGGACGCTTAGATTCACTGCGACATACAATATTAACTTTAAGTAAACGCAGATCTCTCAGATATGGTGTGCCTTTCTTTCTATTTGTTGTTGGAGGATCCTTCGGTTTGCGTGAATGGACACAAATAAGGTGATTTTTAAAAGATTTATCTTAATTTCCACAAGGAAGCATACCTTAAGCATACTGGAGAAGGGAGGTAAAAAAATAGTGGGTTAATGATATGGCCCGTTACGATTGAAAAACTTAATTCATCCTTAGAGTGAATCCTTTAGTTATCTTCCTAAGTTTTGTTTATCTTTTTAAAATAAGTTGAACCCTAGAAACTACTTCAGCAACTCTTGATAACAGTGTATAATTACGGTTTAACTCTCTTGTAACCTCCTTTCTAAGGAGAGGCCTATGTCCAGCAGTGGACTAGTATAGGCTGTTGATGATGATGTGAACTCTCTTGTATGGTCAGAAGTAGTACCATCAAGGGTCACCCTATTAATAAACATACATCAATACCAAAAAAAAAAAAATTTTGAACTATAAAGTAACTGCTATTCCTGCATAGGACATAGAAAATACTTACGCTGATTAGTATATATAAAAATTTCCAACATCAACCGTTAACATGCAGCCTTGATCACTTGGCCTGTTGGGAAGATTCTCTCTTTGTGTTGGAGTTATGTAATACCCATTCCTCCACAGCAAGAACAATAATCATTAAACCTTACAAACATGACCATTTATAATTCAGATCAGCAGAATTAATTTTGCTATGATTGCAAGTTGCGAAAGTTTTTTTATGTTTCAATTATTATAACTGTTTATTTAAAGATTATGAGCATATTATACTTCAATTCTTCATAATTTTTCTGATATCACTATAAGCCTTGTCAGCAAGGAGGCTCCTATCAATAAGGGTTAAATATTTGCCTATGCTATTATTGTGTTTTTCTTATGCATCTCAACTTCAAACTAAAAACATGTTGTTTTAGGTACCAATTTTCTAGAGTAAAAGGAGTCAGCAAAGAAGAAGCTGAAAAGATGGGGCTTCACAAAGAGAAGACAGTTACATTAGAAAAAACCTATGAAGAAATTCAGAAACTAGATATAGATAACTGGGAAAACAAAAGGGGTCCTCGACCTTGGGAGACACCTGCACAACAACCAAAAAAACAATAGACAAATTATGCATATTATGTTATTTAGTTGTATGTGTTATTGTTATAAATAAATAGTTTAGACTTAAAAAACTATACTTGTTAGTATCAGCAATATCTAAATTATTTTTAATGTAGTAAACCCTTGACAAACCGAATAAAAATTTCCGCCTAGCTCATGCGTTTTCGAAACAAACGTCGCAATTGTGGTTTGACAGGATGACTTTCCGCGATTCAGAAAATAGTATTCACTGTGAAGAGACAGAAAATCTGCTACAAGTGATTTTTTATAAACATCCTTAATAAATATCTGTAAATATAGTTTTTTTTATACTTTTCTAGTAAAAGTTCAAGTATTGATTTAACATCCTTTGATTATTAATAAATATAATGTTACGTCTTTACTGGCTATACCTACTTGTCATCTTGTGACCTAGTTAATTTCAGATATGACGTCGACTTTATACAAACTTTCTAGGCCATTGACTGATTAACGGTTCTTAGAGCATGCTAGAGCTGAATGATAATAAAATTAGTACCTATAAGTACCCGTATATGGTAAAAAAAAACTGATTGATAGCATGCTGTTGGTATTGAAGATTAGGTACTTTGTATCAGACAATAATAATAATATTTTCGGACTTCTAAAACACAACACTATCTAGTTTCAAACTAAGCAGAGTTTGTACTATGAAAGCTACATTGAGTGATACGTACTTATATACTTCTTTTTTTGGAAATACATACACATACATAGAAAACACCCAAACTTCAAAACAAATACTTGCAGATTATACAAACATGGTCCGACCCGGGAATCGCACCCGAGACCTCAGCACAGCAGTCGCACATACGTTACCACTGCACCACCGAGGCAGTCGACACAAGGCACTTTCCAATTTAATAATAAAATAAATTAAAGTAGGTATATCATGTTTATCATGAGAGAAGGAAAACTTGAAACAAACCCTTTTTTTTTTTTTTTTTTTTTTTTTTAACGTGTGGAAATCCCCTCGGACCGTCACCCCTCCGGGGTTTGCGGCGGGGTGGTGTGTCGGACTCGGACCGACTAAAACCACACGGTGTGCCACTCTGCGCCTGTAACAGGAGGGATCCGGGAACAGCTGTTGTTAAGACATCCGGACCCCTCCTAGCGCCAGCCCGCTCCCGGTGCGGGCTCCGTCTCGATGTTTTCCTCTCTTTATAGGCGACGTCCGGCACACGCGGACGCCGCCCCCTCGCAGCTGGCCAAACTAATGCGGGTGGAGGGGAAACCCACCCCGTCCACCCGCGGCCACACTCAGGGCGGCATGAGGCTGTGGTAGGCGGGCCTCCGCCGCCCGGTTCGCCGGCGGCGGATCGGGTCCGAGTGGAGGTCGTCCTCCCGGGCCCTCTCCGCCGCCTCCTTCCGCGAGATTACTACCTCGCAGAAGGTTGCGACCGCGGTAAAACAACTGTCGCTACCGGCCATGGAGCGTACTACGGCCGGTAGCGAGAGATCCACTCCGATGACTGCAGTGAGGGGCCCGGCGCTGCGCCGCCCATGCGGGGCAGACCGCCAGCGTGTGCTGGGCCGAGTCCTCACTGCAGTCGCAGTGGTGGCAGGCGGGACTCAGTTCCCTCCTAGCGACCGTGTGCAGGTACTTTCCGAAGCAACCGTGCCCGGAAAGCACCTGCGTCAGTCGGAAGGAAAGGGTCCCGTGCTGCCGCCCTGCCCACTCGGCGATGACCGGCTGGAGAGCCTCCACGGCGGCGAAGCCAGCGCGTGGAGTCTCCAGCCGGAACGACCAACGAGCCATCGTGGCTCGGCGAGCGGCTTCGCGCCACTCGCGCACATCCTCGGGCCGAGGGCGAAATCCGCTCTCCGCCCGGGAGTCAGCCACTCGCCGATAAACTTCGGCGAGCACTTCCGCCTCCAAATCCCACGGGGGAGTTCCGGCCAACGCGCATGCCACCTCCGTAGAAACGGTGCGGTAACCGCGTATGGCTCTGACCGCCATTACCCTCTGAGGGCGCCAGAGGCGTACCCTATTCTGGGCGGTCAGAGCCGCCGCCCACACTGGTGCACCGTACAGCGCCATTGACCGGACAACCCCCGTGTACAGCCGTCTTGTCGCGACGCTGGGTCCACCCATATTGGGCAAAAGTCGCCCTAGGGCAGACGCAGCGCCGACCAGCTTTGGAGCAAGCTGTCGGAAGTGCTCGTCGAAGAGCCACCTCCCGTCGAGGATCAGGCCCAGATATTTCATCTGGGCCCGAACCGGTACGAGGACCGAGTTGACCACGATTGAGGCGCCAGGGGGTGGACCACGACGGGGCCCATGAAATAACAGGGCCTCCGTCTTATCTAGGGCCACCCGTAAGCCCAGCGCCTCAATGCGCCCGACCACCAGGGAGACTCCCCCTGTGGCCAGGCGCGCCGCCTCTTGGAAGTTTGCCCCCCGGGCTGTCACGAGGGTATCGTCTGCGTAACAGATTACACCCAGCCCGGGGGGGAAATCGGCGCGAAGGGCCCAGTCGTACCCTATGTTCCACAAGAGGGGTCCAAGAACAGACCCCTGTGGAACACCGCACGACATGGGCCGACTCCTCAAATTATAATAATATATATAATATCGGTCCTCGTACACGACGGTACGCTCCTCTAAATAGTCTGCCACCAGCCGCCTCAGGTACTTTGGCACCCCATGATAGTGGAGTGCTTCCCTGATGCAGCTGAATGGCAGACTATTGAATGCGTTGGCGATGTCCAATGACACCGCCAACAGCACGCCGCCACAGCTCACGGCCTCTTCGGTCACGGCCCTCAGGCGCAACACGGCGTCGACTGTCGAACGCCCCGCCCGAAAACCAAATTGGGCGTCCGACAGATCGGGGCCCACCTCGCAGAGGTGCCGGACGATGCGGGCAGAAAGAACCCAATCAAACAATTTGCCCGCCTCGTCCAGCAGCACGATGGGCCTATAGGCCGCGACCGAATCGGCAGGCCGTCCCGGCTTCCTCAATAGGACCAGCTTCCCGCTCTTCCAGCACTCAGGGAAGCGTCCCGACGCCAAGCTAGCGTCGAACACCTCCCCGAGGCGGTCTGCCAAGTGGTTGAGGGCCAGGGCCAGCACTCGGGCCGGTACCCCGTCTGGCCCAGGGGCGGTGTTCTTGGAACGGATCCGTAGAACAGCCGCCCCTACCTCCGAATCCCGGACGGGCGGAACATTTTCCTCCCCGTGCTCCCCGTCGTCTCCGGCCAAGGAGGCCATCGCCGGGGGAGTGTGTTCCGCTCGTTGCGGGAAAAGGCCCTCAACCACTTCTCGCAGGAAGCTGGGCTGGAGAGTCTCCGTAAGGGGGGGGGGCCCGACGCGCGGAGCTTTTGTCGCACCGCGCGGTAAGGGCGACCCCAGGGGTCACGATTAAGACCCTCCAGCATCTCCTGTCTTTTTTCTTCTTTGGCGCGGCTAATGGCCAGCTTCAGAGTTTTCCGCGCCCGTCGGTACTCCTCATGAAGCCGGTCCTCCTCACCGTCTCCACGGTGACGCCGCCGACTGCGCGTGTAGGACCTCCGGGCACGTGTACAGGCCGCACGGAGGTCCGCCAGCTCCTGGGACCACCAGTAGACCTCCTTCCTTGGAGGCCGACGACCTCGAACGCGGGGCATGGCCGCATCGCATACATGCGTAATCGCATCGCGAAAGCGGCCAGCCCCCACGTCGACCTCCTCGGTCGGAGCCTGAGGAGACAGCCACGAGTGAATTATGGCTGCCTCCTCTAGTAGGTCCCGGTTCAGCCTGGCAACAGCCCACCGCGGAAAGCGGGATAAACGCCGCGCCACGTGACCCCTACTGGAGTCCTGGGTCCGGGAGAGCTCAAATCGGATATACAGGTGATCCGAGAGCGTCTCAACCTCTTCCAGGACACACCAGTTCCTTACTCGTGCGGCGAGGGCAGGGGTAGCGAACGAAAGGTCCACTATCGACCCCCCCTGCTGTCGCACGCACGTGTTGGTGGAGCCTCTGTTTAGAAGACAGAGGCCCACCGAGGCCACCCACTCCTCTACGGCCTCGCCCCTGGCGTCCGTCCTGGGGGAACCCCACGCAATGGACTTTGCGTTGAAGTCCCCCAGCACAAGGACGTGCCCAGACGCTAGTCGCCGTATCGAGGTCTCCAAGCTGGTTAGGAAAACCTCGAAGTCGTTCAAACTCCGGTTGGGGGAGAAATAGACACCATATATGGTGATCCCCCCCCACTCGACGGCAACATATCCAGTGCCCTTGTCTCTTAGCGACAAGGGCGGGGAATGAGCCGTCGTGGAACCGACGACTGCCACGGAGCCGTCCCAGTCACCCATCCAGTTTGGACGGGGAGGGACAGAATAGGGCTCCGCGACTACGGCAACACCTATCGACCACTGTGCCATGGTTTGCAGGAAGAGATCCTGCGCCGCGGCACAGTGGTTCAGGTTCGTCTGGACCAGGAGGTTGGAGACTTGATCCATTACTGGATCGTCTCTACAACCTCCTCCATGGGCGACGACGACGACGCACGTACTATATCAGAGGCAGCCTGGGTCGACTGGCTAGCCCCTGACGTCTGCCGAGAACTGCGGGGAGGCTTGCAGCCTCTCTGCCCCATCTGGTGATTGGCGGGCTTATTGCCCGCCGCACACGCTGGGCAGTGAGGGGCGGCAGAGCATTCTGCCGCCTTATGCCCCGGTTGACCGCAGTCCCGATGCTAGGCATTTGTAGCACCTCATCGGTCTCGCCGCCAGGACTGTGATCCTGGCGCTCACGAAACCGATGAGCAGCCTGCCGGCGTCGGCCAATACTTTGGCCGACGCTACGGGACAGCTGACCCACACGGCGCCAAGCCCTCCTGGACCGGGGCGGATGGTGCCGACCCTGACGTTGTCCGCGCTGCACCCCGTCTTCTCCCGGATTACAGCGCGGACATCTTCGGCCGTCACAGAGTCGTCCAGGCCCGAGATGCGCAGCTCTGCGCACTTAGTAGGCCTGGCGATCTTTACACCATCCG